GTTCATTAGTGGTTTAGGGGATGCTGAGCCAAAAGCAGAAATACCAGGCGCCCAGTGGACAATCCCCACTGCTGTGTTTGGCTGTGGGTGTCCGAGGCTATGAGAGGTGACGGGCTGGAATGAGAGGTTTAGGAGGGGGCAGAAGGGAGGGAGAGGTGCTCTGAGGCTCCCCTGAACTGGCCAGGGTGGCAATCTGGGGATTTCTACACTTCGCAGACGTGCCAGCTGCCAGCGGGTGGGAGTGGAATTCGAATATGGAGAATGGGGTTCAGACGGCACCCCGCATGGGAGCAGCAGCAACGATCTTTGTGCGTGGCACTGGCGACAGGGGCATGGGCCGTGGAAAGGCCACCAGCCTGAGTGCCCACTCAGCTCAGAGGACCCGAGTGCAGCTCCTGTGTCCTGGAGGTCCTCCAGCCACCCGGGTCTGAACCCTGGCCAAGCTGTTTCCACCCTCCGAGACAGGAGTGCTGTGATTTGTAACTCCTGGCAGCTGTACTTAACATGGCACTTTAAAAAAATGCCAGAAAACCAAAGAGATTAGCTGGTAAGAGGCAAAGATAGAGTAGCTGAGCCATACACAGATTTAATAAATGGGTAATTTAAGCCTATAAACACAGCTAATCCCATGCATTTATATTACAACAGGGGTTGTCTTATTTGACTGCCAATTCCCTCCTCCTGTGGAATTAATAGCTTTCTAAAACTTTAATTTTTTTATGTGTTTTTTTAACTTTTAAAGTTGATCCAATCATTTGTTAGTTTGGTTAACCTTTTGAGGAAATAATCATTGGTTTAAGTGCTCTTCTTTTTTCTTTAAAATTTTAAAGTTTCTAGTTTGTTCAGTTCTGCTGAGCAATTACTTTCTTTTCTAAATCCCTTATGAGATCTATTTTCTATCTTCCTTTTGCCTTCTTATTGATATATTTAGAGAAATGTACTTTCTTCTAAATAACATCTTGCACTCATGGGTTTTGGTGGACGGACTCCAGTGCTCTCCTGGGGGAGTTTTTAAATGCTGCAGGGTATTCATGAAGGCTCTTCTGGTTACTGGGTAACTTATGCAAAGGGAGAAGGTACTAGAAGGATCCTGGACAGCCCTGAATAGGAAAGAGCTCAACAGCCAGCTCTCAAATGCAAGTGCCTGGGAGCCCCTCTAGGGCACCCCCTTGTGGGCCTAGCTGGGAAATCAAGTCAAGACTCCAGATAGCTCAGGGTCAGTTTTAAACAGCTGGAAGAGAAAGTCTGACTGGCTCAGCTTGGGTCAGGTAAATGCTTCTGGGTCCAGTGGGAGGAACATCACAGACAGGGCCCCTGACATGTGGTGGTCACAGAATAAAGGATTGTTGCAAACTGAGTGGCCACCTCTGTGTATACAGTGGAGTCACTCATGTCCTAGTAAGGCCTTTGGCCAGTTACTTAACTTCTCTGCTTCAGTTGTTCCACTTGTAAAATGAGGATAATAATGAAATCCACTTCATAAGGTTTCATTTAATGAAAATTAAATCAGTTAATATTTGTAAACATGCACAGAGAGAACAATGTCTGTTACATAACAGACACCATGCAAGTGTTTGCTATTATATTTCTAATTTTATCAATATATGTGCTGTTTGCACCTTCTTTTTATTTACTTGAAACTTCTCCATCTATGATTATCTGGAGTGTGAGAGAAACTCATACACATTTTGAAAAGGTAGATTCTCTAATTCATCTAGTTGTCTAAAACTCTGTTAATCTTACCTTATTAGTGATGCTGTTGAGCTCTGAATCTTTAGAACCATTCTTTCCTGTATGTGATCTGCCATATTCTGAAGTGAAGTTCTAAAGAATCCTAATAGATTTCCATTGATTGCTTCGTGGATCACTGTCACCTTTTCATTCATACATTCTGTAGTCAGGAAGTCCGTGGTACCTAATGAATCTGCTGTGTTTTCATTACTGTGCCTTTCATCATTCTGACATGCCAACGTGGCTATTGCCTCTCGCTTTTGCTTAAGTCTGTGTTGTCAGAGCTCATTTTTTAAACTCCTGCCTTTCTTACATTAGTACAGGTGCTCCTTTTAGTTGTTTTTTTTTTTTTCCTTTAAATGGGTCTTTGGACATAATCCCCAATCCATCAATTGCTTGGCCTTGGTCTTTAAGTTCACTCGATGACTCTTTCTTTTTAGAGGAATCGGTCCCTGTTGTAACTGTCACGTGTGTCTTTATCTTCGTTAAGATGGTCTTTTCCACAACCGGATGTCCGCTGGCCCCTGGTCCACTTCACCCTTGCGGCTGGCTCTGCGTTTGGCCATGCACTGCCTGCCTAGATGCAGAACCCAGCTGTATCTCAGAAACACGCCCTGCCCGAAACCATGCACCCTTAAGTGCGCACGCGCACAGGCGCCACGCCCCCTCCGCGCCGACCGAGCCCGCAAGCCTGCTGATTGGGGGGGACACGGGACAGACCCCAAGACCTTCCCCCCAGCACGCTCTCCTCTCGCTCGGTCTCCTGCCCTCCTCGAAGCCGGTGTCCAGCTGTCTGTTCCCTGGTGCTTCTGGCCTCACCTCCTACCCAGGGCACTTAACAAAGCATTTCTCCCAAGCCCTCCTTCTTTGAGTCTGTTCTTCTTAGTCTCAACATATTTGTGTTATTAAGCGTCACATATCATAAAATAGGTATTTCCTCATTTCTTCCGTGTGAGATCAAGATGAAGTTATTCAACCGACCTCGCAGTGGAAATTCTTCCTCCTCGAAGTGTGGCCGGTGGTGCAGCAACGGGGACCTGTGGGAATCTCGGGGTCCCCTCCCAGACTTACAGAAGTGGACTCCGCATCTGAACAAACTTCTCATGCACATAAGAGGCCGAGACATTCCGGTCTGAGGAACTATTCAGTGCTTCCGATTTTAATACATTTGGCATTTGATAAATAGAACTTACCACCTTCTATACGCCCTAAAAGCCCAGCCATCCAAGTCAGAAACCTTGGGGACAAGCCTACCTGCCCCCCATTTCAAGCCCAGTCGATGACCTGCTGGTTCTCTTTCCTTAATGTAACTCATATCTGTCGCATTTTCTCTCTTCTAGTCACCACTGCCGCCAAGTCCTCAGAGTTTTCCTTCTGGATTGCTACTTGCCCTCCTAGCCGGTGGTTCTGTTCCTCTCAGTGAAGCCAGAGTCATCTTCCAAAACTGTGTATCTGACCCTATCACTCCCGGCCTTAAGATCCTCCAACATTGCCACTGCCTTCAGAATTAGGACCCAACTCTTCACGTGGACACAAGAACCTTCTTAGCAGATGTTGCCCAGCCCGTCCGGGTCCCGCCTTCTCTGCCCTGAGCAGCAGCCACACCTGCTTCATGTTCTGTGTCCCTGAACGTCGGTTTTCTTCCCTCTGCCTGGGATTTCCCTCTTTGCCTGAATAACTCCTCTCCACTCGAGAAACTTGGAAGTAGGCCTTCCCTCTGCTGAGTAGCCTCTTCTTTCCCAGTCTGGGGCAGGCGCCCACTCCTCGTCTCCTTGTGTAGCTTGAAGAGCGCCCCATGGCACATGGCACAACCTGGTCTGCTTGTGCATCCGCCTTCGTAAGCCTGTGGGCAGTGTGAGGGCCAGGACCGCCCTGAACTGACCTCTCTGAATGCCAGCTTCTAGAATGGAGCCTGATCCACAGTAGGCACTCAGTAAACAGCTGTTGAATAAAGAAATGAATCAAACATTACTCTTGCTATTTACGGGTTTTAAAAAATAGTATGTTACCATTTTTCTAAATTCCATATATATGCATTAGTATATTGTATTAGTGTTTATCTTTCTGGCTTACTTCACTCTGTATAATAGGCTCCAGTTTTATCCAGACGGATGGGATGGGGAGGGAGGTGGGAGGGGGGTTTGGGATGAGGAACACATGTAAATCCATGGCTGATTCATGTCAATGTATGGCAAAAACCACTACAATATTGTAAAGTAATTACCTCCAACAAATAAAAATAAATGAGAAAAAAAAATAGTATGAAGTTCCTTTAGAGGAACACTTATTTTCACTGTCATCTTTCTATCATTGTTAAATCATTAATATCATTGCTTTAAAACCTTTTTAGTTCCTTTTTTATACCTTGTTGTTACATATTGTATTTTCCATTAAGACAATATAATTTGCACCAAGTTTTTCCTACTAGTCGTAGGGAAAATTTTATCTTTGTTCAGAGTCTACTTTTGAGATGCAAATTCAATTGTCCATTTTTAATGATCCTTGAAATGAATGGTTTTTAATGGCAGCCTTTTCTGTTTTTGAGGATTTACAAATGCTGTTTTTCTCCTCTCAAAGCACAACAAGTTGATGGGGTAACTGATCTTGGATGGTGATGCTTGGTCCTAAATTTCTCTGTAAATGTCTTCCCTGATTTTTCGGTCTTAAAATTGAGGTTTTCTTGTCTTTGGCCTCAAAGAAATGGAAAGAAATGCAATCTGGAAGATTAACTGCACCTAGAACAACCAAGATGACGCTGATCAGACCAATCATTGCTGACCAATCTCACATGAATGTCAGGGAGGACTGAGCTGTTTCTGCATGTAACCCCCTCTCTCTGTTTATAAAAGCTCTTGTCCACTGATTGTCAGGAGTGGGAGTCGGCCTTTGGAAGGCGTCTGCCCTCCCCACCAGAGGCCGGCATCCAAAAGAAAGCAGACTTTCCATCCCACCAACCTGGACTCAATTGGCTTTTGAGCGGCGAGCAGCCAGACCCCACTTTCGGTTGCATATCCACTGTGCAAATATCAGAGGCCACCATGACCTTGCCAGGCTCAACCCAAGCACCATCTCATTTTTTTTTTTTTCATGTTGAAGTTTTTTATTTTGCTAAAATGTACAAACAGAATACAACTACCCACACTTTATGGTTTCTAAACATATAACCACTGATGGCTTCCAAAAGATGCTGATGTTCTTCATAGTTAAGATGCTTGATGTTCTGTAAAAGCCCAATGTACCTTCCACTCTAACCACCAAGCCCGTCTACTTCAGAAGTCCTGCCGTATGTTTTCTTCGTTTGCCTCTCCGTGTTGCTGCTTCATTTGAAAGAGCTCATTTTCTAATTGTAAAATAGTCCTTTCAATCTCATAATTCTTACTGACCAGGGATACCCAGGTTGACTCCATTTCTCTTAATTTAGATCCAGCTGTGAGTTGCATGTTCTTTCGTTGCCAGTTTAAGTCTTGAATATGTTTCCTTAACTTCCGAAGCTCTTTCTGTGCGTGCTCAATCATATGAACTAGATTTTCATTATACACTTTCCAGGCATTGCATCCATGCTGGGACATTACTTCCAGATTCTCAATTCGAACTGCCTGATGCTCTAACTGCGCCATAGAATTGTTTACGCACTCTTGCCATGCAGTGATGTCATTTTTCTGACCGGAGGAAGGGGCTGGAAGTTTGTATCGTTTCATACTGAGCATCGAGCAGCCAGTCTTTCAAATTCATTTCTCATTATGTCTGTCTCAAAAGCAGAATAATCCGGGGCCGTCAGGTAGCTTAGATAGTTCTTCGTAGGTTGGTATCTGCGAGTTTCCGCCTCAACCAACGCGGCAGCCGCTTCGTGAACACCAGGCGCTTCATAACCCTGGTCAAAATACGGCAGCGCATCCACCACAACCTCCCCGGCCACCAAACCAGTGTCCGCCATCCTTAGGTTCACTGGAGTTTTCTAAGTCTTGCACCATCTCATTTTTATCTTATCCTGGAGGCTTACAGACTTACCCAGCCTGGGGTCTGTCTTCATTATGGAGGACCCCTCAAGGGAAGACCAGTCACTCTTTGCAGAGCGGTCACACCGGCTGGCACCTTCCTGGGACGAAGAACTCTGTGTACAACCTACTCTGCCGGGTGTGCTCAGTAAGTTTAAGGAGCAGGATCGAGCCTCTCACTTGACTGTAGACAGCAACTGAAAAGAGTTTCAGCTGTTGGCAAGCTGAGTGAAGACAATCAGAGATTATTTCTCGGTTCTTAACAGCTGTGTCGGAGAAGGACCTGGCAACCCACTGCAGTGCTCTTGCCTGGAGAATTCCGTGGACAGAGGATCCTGGTGGGCTGCTGTCCATGGGGTTGCACAGAGTCAGACACGANAATCAGAGATTATTTCTCGGTTCTTAACAGCTGTGTCGGAGAAGGACCTGGCAACCCACTGCAGTGCTCTTGCCTGGAGAATTCCGTGGACAGAGGATCCTGGTGGGCTGCTGTCCATGGGGTTGCACAGAGTCAGACACGACTGAAGCAACTTAGCATGCATGCATGCATTGGAGAAGGAACTGGCAACCCACTCCAGCGTTCTTGCCTGGAGTATCCCAGGGACAGAGGAGCCTGGTGGGCTGCCGTCTATGGGGTTGCACAGAGTCGGACACGACTGAAGAGGCTTAGCAGCAGCAGCAACAGCTGTGTAATGAATCTTTGAAACTAACAACTCATTATTAAATCTTATATTGGAGGAAGCAGAGGAACACGATGCTGTTTCAAGGCAGAAAACCAATATGAGCTTGTTTTCTTTGCTTCAAAAGGTGGTTTTGGTCAGTAAGGATCTCTGCAAAGAGAGAATCTTCCTGCAAAGCTACTTGTCTGGACATCCGCTGTCTTCGTGGCTTGGCGGCAGCTGGAAAGAGACCTTGGTCATGGGTTCAGTCCCTATGTGGACCCTTAACATTGCTCCTAACATAGTTATTAATACAAACTGTACTTTGATTTCAGCCCTCCTAAATGAGTGGTTCTGGGTGAGATGGCATGGGTAAATCTGTCAGCATGATTGGGAAACCAATTTAAAAGCACGTGGTTCAATAATCTTGGGTTTTCTATGCTTTCTTCACAAATGGAGGACCAGAATTAGAGGAATTTTGAGGAACCAAGGTGGGAGAATTAAATAAGGACATGTAGTACATATTGTAGCTTAAACGGGAGTCTTTCAGTTTTTGTTTGTCCTTTCAGGAGGACAATAAGTAGCCATGTTAAAAAAAAATGTTAGAGGTATACCTACCAGTACTTGGGGCTTCCTTGGTAGCTCAGCTGGTAAAGAATCTACCTGCAATGCGGGAGACCTGGGCTCCATCCCTGGATTGGGAAGATCCCCTGAAGTTGAGCATGGCAACCCACTCCAGTATTCTTGCCTGGAAAATCTCCAAGGACATAGGAACCTGGTGAGCTATAATCCATGGGGTCAGAAAGAATCAGAACACAACTGAACTAACTTAACATGTACACATGCATGCATGTGTTAAACCTGCTCATCAATTTTGGGAAAAATGGACATCTTTACAATGTTGAGTCTTCCAACCAAGAGTACAATATATCTCTACATTTATCCAGGTCTTCTTTGGATTATTTAATCAACATGTGATTTTGAGCATACAGATTCTGCCGTTTTGTGCTATAAAAGACTGTGAAAAGATAAGCTACCAAATGGGAAAAAAAAACAGCAAATTGCATATCTGACAAAGACCTTATATCTGTAATATACAATGAACTCTCAGAACTTGACAGTAAAAAACAAAACAAAAAAACACAGACTAGCAATCTAATTGTGAAACGGGCAAAAGATATGAATAAATATTTCATCAAACAGGAATTAGAGATGGCAACTAAGCCCATGGAAAGATGTTTACCATCATTAACCAAATCATATTTTAATATTCACAAACTTTAATTATACACAAAAATTAATATACTGAGTGTTCATGTTGCCTGTTTAGTGTGGGAGAATTAAATGTATTCATATTACGACCACTAACGATAAAAGACATACTTAAGAAATTCAGTACTGTTTTCATCATATACAAAGGCTATTGTTTTCTCCATAGGCATATGCTAAATGTATAACAATGTAAAAAGTATTCACTATATTGTATACATATTCCTTTTCAGAAATGTGTTAAGAATACAGAGCTAGTTTCACCTGTATTTTAGGGTAATAGATGTTATCTTTCATATTTTAAAATATTTGTCCTCAATGAGTCCCTTAATTCTGTTGTGTTATTCATTTGATCATAAAAAGCTTGTGGTTTCTTCAAATTCTTCTAGCTCGTTTGCTTCACCATATTGTATGAGGCTCTAATTCTGAAGGGAATGCCTAGAAGCTGGGTTCTAAATATTGCTGTAAAAAACAATCCTAGATATCAAATAGCAATGAATTCTCTACCATATATTTATTGAAGATCAAATAACTGGTTGGAATTTGTCGGGCACTGAAAGTACAGAAAGTTTTAAGTCCTCCACCGTGGAAAATTTGCAGAATAATAGCTCAAGACTTACGCCTTACCAAGTTTATGTTGTTAATTGAATTATTTGTCTCAACGATGAAGGGGGGTCAGAAATGATCATAGAAACACACTGGTAATTAGTCCAGGAGAGAATCTTTCCACTTGAGAATCATTTGCTATCTTTTCAGCCCCAAGGGCTCTAATTCACGAGAATCGGCATTTCTTGCCCATTTATGCTCCGAAAACTGACCACAGAAGGATAAAAATGTAACCCTGGCCTGTGAAGATGACAGCCACATTATCCACCTGACCGAAGAGAAAGCCTCAGTGTTGCAGTGTCTCTAATATCATCGGTATATCCTTCAGAATCAGCTTCCATACAGCTCAACATTTTTTTTCTCCAAAAGGATGAAACACAAAAAGTCACTGTTTGCTAACTCTTTAAAGCAGTGACGCTCCGCTGCTGCCCCCTCAAGGTTCTCACATTTTTTCCTCCAGGGAGATAAATCTTAAATCACCCCCAATCCTATCCCAAGTAGAATATAAAAACCACACATCGGTTGCTCATGGGGCAAACTACTGACAGCATCAATTATTTAAAAGCAGTCATCTTGGGGTGTCCCTGGTAGCTCAGGGGTGAAGAGTCCGCCTGCCAGTGCAGGGGACACAGGTTCGATCCCTGGTCCGGGAAAATCCCACATGCTTCGGAGCAGCTGAGCCCGTGCTCCACGACTACTGAACCTGAGCTCTAGAGCCCAAAGTCACAACTCCTGAAGCCCACACACCTAGAGCCTGTGCTCCATGACAAGAGAAGCCCCCGCAATGAGAAGCCCGCACTCTGCAACTAGAGGGTAGCCCCCACTCGCCGCAACTAGAGAAAAGCCCGCACCGCAACCAAGACCCAGCACAGCCAAAAACAAACAAATAAAGATGAACAAACAAACAAAAACCAGTAATCTTATCTTCCAGACATTTATTTCATGGGTGACTGTTTACTTTCCATGGAGGAAAATTCAAGGATAATGTATCTTTAAAATGTATTTTGTGTACATTTAAAGGTAAAAGAGCAAAAAAAAAAACAAAACCCAAAGAGGTTCTTTTGGAGGGGTGGTCAAACCACGCAGCTTGCAACATCATAATTCCCCAACCAGGGTCTGAATCTACGCCCTCTGCCGTGAAAACAGAGTCTTCACCACTGGACCACCAAGGAGTACCCAGCAAAACCTTTTTTTCAGATGTTTTTAGACTTTAAGATATCCACAGGGACTCCCCTGGAGGCTCAGTGGTAAAGAATCTGCCTACCAATGCAGGCTCGATCCTGGTCCTGGAGGATCCCACACGCCTTTAAGCCCATGTGTCCTGCTCGCTGAAACTAGAGAAAAGCTTGCCCCAGCAGTGAAGATCCAGCACACCCAAAAGATAAATAAATAAACGAATAAAAACTTAAAACGATACCCACAGTAGACATCTGTCAGAATAAATTCAATTTTGATTATTTCTCTGTCCATCATCAACCTATCAACTCAATTTTGCTCGCCAATAAAAGAATTTACTAGACATTGTAAAAGATCGAATTTCGAAAAGGTGTTTTAAGTTATTTGTAAACTGCTGTGAACAGGTTCCCTTCAGGTTCCACAGGCACAATGTGTCTGTGAGAGGGATGGGGGGCACCCAACTTTCACCAAAACGTCTGCACACCTGACCTTACTGAATTCTCAGAGACCCAGCAGAGCAGGTATTTCCCTGTTTCACAATGAGCAAATTGAGGTAGAGAAGTTATGATGCCAAATGCATTTTCCAAACCACGGAACTAATAAAGAGGATACCTGCAATTCAAATGGGGCTTCCCTGATAGCTCAGTTGGTGAAGAATCTGCCTGCAATGCAGGAGACCCTGGTTCGATTCCTGGGTCGGGAAAATCTGCTGGAGAAGGGATAGGCTACCCACCCCAGTATTCTTGGGCTTCCCTTGTGCCTCAGCTGGTAAAGAATCCGCCTGCAATGCGGAAGACCTGGGTTTGATCCCTGGGTTGGGAAGATCCCCTGGAGAAGGGAAAGGCTGCCCACTCCAGCATTCTGGCCTGGAGAATTCCATGGACTGTGTAGTCCATGGGGTCACAGAGTCGGACAGGACTGAGTGACATCCAAATCCAGCCTGGTCTGACTGTGAAGTCCATGCTTAACTGTTGGAGAAAAGGAAACCCTTGCACAGTGTTGGTGGGGATGTCGCTCAGTGCAGCCACTGTGCAGAAGAGTATGGAGGGTCTTCAATACATTACAAACACATTACCATATGATCCAGCAATTCCACTCCTGGATTTACATCCAACGAAAATGAAACCACTAATTTGAAAAGACAGGGGTACCCAGAGTTCACAGTAGCATTATTTACAACAGACAAGATATGGAAGCAACCCAAGTGTGTAGCAACAGATGAATGAATA